CTACGTTATTCACGTAGCTGAAGTTGCGTACCTTAGTTCGAATTAGGGGGGTAGTGTAGACCTGGCCTAACTCTCACCCAACTTTCAATTGCAGGGCTGGCTCCAGGCACCAGCGGAGGAAGCACGTGCCTTGGGCGGCACATGCTAAGGGGCGGCATTCCGTCCATTCTTGGGGCGGCACAGTCCGAGCAGCTTTTATTTATTTTTGCTTGGGGCAGCAAAAATAAATAAACAAATAAATAAATTGTATGCTATTTTGTGATCATGGAAAGCTTACAAATCTGCAAAATACACAAGGAGAAGGATTTGTTACAAAGGCAAATGTCTTATCCCAGCAGCTCTCAGTCCCAGATGGATTGTTAGAACTGGCTTTTTTTAATGGCTCTTAAGCATAGATTCTAAAGTAACTGACCTTTAGGTAATAACAGATATTTTAGATATAAAAATAGGGTTTTGTCCTGTCACTCCCATGTTTCCCATACAGTACTCTTTCTTGAATTTCAGAATCCCTCAGGACAATAAAGCAATATACAGTACCGTCTGGAAATCCATTATTATTGTAATTGGTGGTAGCTTAATGATTTTCATGCAGACATCTCATTATGATTAGTACTAGTGAAAATTAACTGGGGTGTTGACGTGAGAGGCTAACCCTTAAAATATAGAGGTTGTAAGAGTGTCATTCTAAAGAAACTTCAGAACTTAGATGAGTGCACAAGACATTGAGCATGTTAGTTTCCATTCACTGACGTGCCTCTGAGTGAGTGCTTGGTGTGGGGAATAGGGTCTAAGGAGACTTCTCTATCATTTGCATGTACCGTGCGGGGCTTGTAAGTATGCTGTCCCTGCAATCAGGGGGCTTACAGGGACTGCTCCCTGTATGCACCCCTAGAGCGCAGATTGTCCCAAAGGGGGCGTGAGAAGACAGTGCTGTGGTCCTGGCCACGGTCCACACTGTGTTGTGGCAGTGGACCCTGCGTAATAGCAGGAGTAGACTGTATTTCCTGAAGGACTGAAGTGGCAGGTGTGCTCTCCTGGGGATGGTGCTGCTCCCAGCGCCTGGCTGTACCTACATGGCGTGACAGAATCCTAAAGACGTTTCTCTTGATAAGTCACTGGCAGACAGAACACGGACACAGGAAAACATACAAATATCGGAAATTCAAAAGCAGAATCTGCCCTTCTCACATGCCATTTCAATTTGCCATAGCTGCAATATTCCCCTAAATTCTTGTCTTCCTTAGACCCTTTTGACCTCTAAGTATCCTTCAACTCTCCACCCTTTCCCCCCGTCTATCATGTCGCACCAGAAGATTTTAGAGCTCCAGAATTGCTAGTCTGGCCATGCTAACAACACTGCTGTAGCCAAGCCTGTTTCCCTGTGCAGCCCTTGCAGCCAAAATCTTGTTTGTATTACTTGGGTGAGCAGTCCCACTTAAGTCCATGAGCAGGACCCGGCTGTATAATACTTCTAACATTTGCGATATAGTAGTACATAATTGCTAAGATCTTTCCTTTGAGCAGAGCCCCTTCAAACTTGCATGATCTAACATGCACGACGGGCTGCACCTACTGCTTATGTAAAGGTGTTTTCAAGAAAAAAAAATCAAGGGGGAAAAAGTAGCACACAAGTTTCCCAGAGTTTTAATTCTCTGTCTTCGGTGTTGAGACAAGTGTTTGTTTATTTTGTAATGAGCGCAACAGGAGTATATGTTCTCAGGAAGGAGGAATATTGGTTGGGGTCAGTGTGAGACGCTTGGGCAGCATGGGAAGCTTGCACTGTTGCTGTGTCTGAGTTGTACCTGTTTTGTGGTTAGAGAACTTTAGTGTCCAGGGCCCTTTCACAGGGTCGAATTGTACCCCTACATGGTGATACTCTTTTTTTTTCCACCTCACCCCATGGAGTTTCCTTTGCTTTCTTCCATTAGTAGTTGGGGGTGGGAATTCCTTTCCCCCACCCTGCAGAAGAAAGTGAGGTTCTGGCCATCAAGCTCCATGGATGTCCTGGGATCAATTGGGCACATGGCCATCCACGTGAAGGCCTTCTATCTCTACACCAGCTCAGGGTCTCCTGTGGCTGCCTGCCTCTGGGAGCCACCTCTTTAAGGGAGTTCCCCACCACAGAGTGGGCTCCTAGAAGAAGTGAACCTCCCAGCTTTCCTTCCTGATCTCTTTTGTGCAGGGAGAACGATGCAGCTTCCTTACCACCCCCAGCCCTGTTTGTAGTCTGCCCACTCCCTTCCAGCCTGCCCTTTCCACTCCTTCATCCCATATGGATCCCTGGTTCTGCAAGAGCCTTCCACAGGAGAAGGATGAGGTTGCTGCCTCATGGCACTGAAATGGGTGAGGGTTGCCCAGCGAGGGCCGCCTCTGCACGCAGAGTTAAAGGGTTAGTAGAGATTAAAATGAAAAACCAGAACAAATCCTCCTCCTTGAACTCCTTAGTGAACATTTCCAATGGAGCCTGGAAAGAGCATTGCCTTCAATGCACAAAACAGCTACACTTAACTTTAGGGTTAATTTGCACATATACGCTTAGGTTTGGTTCGTAAACTCTTCAGGGCAGAGACCTTGTCTTTTTACTAGTGTGTAAAGCATCCAGCATAACTTTGGGCACCACACAATGATAATACTTTCTGTATTTACATGCACATACACATACCCTGTGTTTCACTGACACATCAGCACCTAGTTAGAAAATGTCTGTTATACAATGCTTAACTCGTTTCTGGCTTGTTTTAAACAGTGCGACATGTGATACTCACCTACTGCAGTGAGACTTTCTGTTACAGGGATGGATTAATGGTGGCAAAATACATCTTCCAGCCAGGTCCTGAATGGAGTAGACTCGCCTAGTGGCAAATCCTGCAGCTCGTACTTACGCAGAACTCCCATTGTGATTTTACTGGGAGTTTTGCCTGAGTATGGGCTGCAGGGTGTGACCTTTTGACTTAGCGATGATCCCTGCACTCCTTTACATGCATTTTCCCTTTTCACTCTAGGTTTCAAGGTGCTCTCCAAAACGTCAACCATTATCACTTTGGTATTTCTGCTTCTAAGCATAGTTGTTGTTATTGCTGTTATACTTGTTCAGATCAACCACAAAGAGGTCCTTTCTCCAGGACTGAAGGTAAGTTTTAACGGGTATAAGGAAACAGAACAATAGACTAAAATGTTCTATCAAATAATAATACTGTGCGTTCTACAGTGCATTTCACCTGATAATCTCAAAATGCTTTACAGGCAAGTGTTAGTTAAAGTCTCCCAATGCCCCTGTAAGCTAAGCATTATGGTCTCTATTTTATAGATGGGGGAACTGAAGCTGAGAGAATAAGTGAATTGCTCAAGGTGATACACCAAGCCAGAGGCAAAGGTGGCATAAGGATTCTTTATGCCTAACCTTGTACTCTAGACAATGCTTCTCTAAGTCTGAATTGCAAGTAAGAAGAAAAAGTTCTCTTTGTCAGTCCAGATTGATGTTTTATAGTAATTATTATAAAATGGCTTTGATTCAAGAAATGATCTGCATTTGAATCACATTCCTAGGGGCTGAATTCTGCCCTCAGATATGATCCCTGTGAGGTGCACACGTGTATCTAAAGGCAGAATTTTGGCCCTAAGTGTGTAATTACATATCCATCACACTGGTTAGAACTTGTTAGCTCTATTATCCTTCCTTCTATTAATACCTACATAG